TTTCTACAATTTCCCTGATGCTCCCGAGTACCTTTCAAAACCGCTGCCGAAAAAACGGAAGGATCACAACCTTAGCGATCAGATTCTCCCCAAACCAAAGTGAAGACTCGTGAGAGCAACACATTGTCAGAAGTTGAGTCGAATGACGTTGATCAAGGCAGTTCAGTCGAGGATGTTCCTGAACCGAAACGCCAAAGGATGTCGAATGATGTTGGCCGAGACGGTGCCGCCGATAAAGCTCGTGACCAAGAATTTCAAGGGCTGTAATTTTCAAAGCTCACGATTCCAAATGAGTGGTCAGAAATTTTCCTGCCGTGTGTTGGGGACTCATTTCTTTTTGCTGAGTTGGAAGCCGACGCTGTTGAACATAGCAAGGTAGCATTAAAAAAGCTCATTCAGATTAAGAAGCAAGCTGCTGAAAGTGCTGCAACCGCCAAAGTTCTCCTAAGAGGAAAGAAGTGGCACCAAGAGGAACTCTTAGCACGAGAAGAGGCAGACTTGCTGATAAACAATATAAGGAAATTGACTTTGTGTCCCGGCGTGGAAATGGAGCCTCTAGGTGGTAAGTGCCCGTAAGTGCCCATCGTTTAATGAAGTGTTCTTTTCGAAGAACTGCACATTTGTAGTAAATGATCTCGCTGCTTGTGTTCACTGCAAGTATCAGAGAAAGCTGATACTCAACCAGCTTTCCAGAAGACGATGTCAGAAGATGTTTACGAAACAACGTCCTCGCAATGTACATCGTTAACCGTCGGAGAATAAAAGCAAAGCTTAGCAGCGCAAAAATTAGCTTGAGCCGAATGAAAGTAAAATATGAGCAGTTATCTGAAGAAGCAGTAGATGAAAGATTTAGAGGCCTTCGATTGACGCTTCCCGACCGTTTAGTATGCGAAGCAATGTAAAATATATAAAACACACAGGATCGAACACTGACACTTGTATGCGAAAAATAGATATTTAAGCTCTATAAGTTAATGTGTTGAAATTCACCCAATACTATTTGAAACTATATAACTACTATTTAATGTAGCTTCAAAAAGAAACTAGTTTGGCTGGTGTTAACGACCTCACTGAATTGTAGTTGGGCGTGCACACTCGTTGGTGCGAGAGAACGGCTAGTGCCCAGGCGGAACGGCTGAATTCCACCATTAAATGGCATTTATTGTGTAAAAAGCCGCGACGACAACTCGGAACAATACACAAATCGGCCACACAGCTCGCTCACAGAGCCATCACAGCAGCGAGTGTAGCGCTCCTTTAGCTAGCAGCGCCCTCTAGAGGTGCGCGAAGTGGTCATCGCTAGAAGTACCCTCTTTCCAGCGCAGCATGGCGCCCTTCTCCTTCTAGTACACTGTAACGAAAAGCCATCAAGTGTTGCGGTTGTCTCGCGGACGCGTGCGTCGTGAACTTCATTGGCACCGATCACATCAGCGTCTACCCACACACGGCCGGAGTCGACATCGCGCGCACTGTCTGGGAGGCCCGTGCCTACGTGCACTTCACCGTTGCCAATGGGCAGCCAGTGTCTACGCTGCGCACGCACGAAGAACAGTCTTCGGTTACCACGGCGTTATCAAACAATGTCGGCGCTTGCTCCCACGACACAGTAGCAGCAGCATTGGGCTTTTTGCTTCTGCTTTTTTTTCGTTGATGGCCAAAATGATGCTGCGATCGGAACTTTTTTGCACCTCCGGGCATAGGGAGACGCCCAAGCACGTTAGGATACGGCACCTTCGCAAGGGCGATACCCTTTCAAAATGGCGGCAGACACTGCCAGCGAGTTTTCTTTAGCCAATCGGGAAGTGCCATTTTGGTCACGTGCATCAAGCAACCAATGGAATCACGTGCTGTGCTTGCTATAGACTTTGTATTTTTTGCTCTTGCGAGGTGTACATAGTTGTTTACTGGAAAAGAAAAAAAAAAGCTAGAAACGCAGCCTTTCCAACAAGACCAAAATGGCATTGGTGGAGCGCGTAGTTCGCGTGCTGTCGGCGGTTGAAGTACGGCTAGTTTACACTTCAATTTGAAAGTCTGCTTGCGCGCAGTTGCTCGCTTTATAGGTTATAACGTGAGAAATAAGTGGAATTTCGAAACCAAACTTTGGTAGTAAGTGCGGAAGGGCATCGGGAACGCGAAAATTATGAGAGAGAAAATGCGATTTTTGGGCCGAATTTAGACTTCTAAGTGCCGCGTCCCCTCTGAACAAGTAAACCAAATTTGGTATAGAAAGAAAGCATGTTACTTTTAAAAAAGACTTTTTCACAAACAACACCAAGACGACATTCTGGGAAGTTCTCTGAAATATTCTAGGAATTCGTTGTCTTCAACACTGCAAATCAGCATGATTTTATTTTTCAAATACATATGAGATGGTGGCCAAAATGGCTGGGACATCTGTCATGGAATGACCCTGCTACAAAAGGCAATTTTGCTTTGAGCAGTTCTGAGAGCTTTTTGGCGAAAGGCTCCCGGGACTGCTCCCAAACCCTTGTATACGCTGTTCCACCTATGCTTATGTGCCATATTTTTACCACGACCCTGTCTGAAGCGTGTAGGGGCCTTTAAAAAGTGTTCACTATAGTATATGAACGCAATTTCAATGGGTAGTGTAGAAAAATCGAAAGGGTACTAAAATGTGGCCATTTTTGGCATTTTTACTGCTATTTTTGTCATATGTATACGTCGTTTATGTAACTAAGTATAAATACTTAATGATATCCTTCTGCCATTTTCGCTGTCATTTTTATTGTATTCTTGCGTGATTTTTATTACAACGAAGAATTATTTAACACTGTTTGGTTGCTTTTTCTTTAGCTATTGACATGTGATTTTCTGACGAGGTCCCCTTTCAGGCGTGTGCTATGGGACCTCCTTCTGTATATCATACCCCCGTTTGTTTAGATCTTTGCATACCTGCCAAATCTTCCAAGTTTCCCGTAAAATGTACGAATTTCAACCGTGCTTATGATTTTACGAATCTTGCCTGAAATTTTACAAAAGATAGTTGATTTCCAATAAAAAAATAAAAATTTGTAAAATAGCTTGGTCTCCGCAATTTGCTATGGTGCATTGCCATAGCTAGTCGCAGAGGCCACAAAAATGGCGTTGGGCTATATTCCGTCTTTAGAAAAGACCAATATGTATTGGTGTTATCATCACATATTTGCCAAGTCTCCCGCATTGTCCGGGAGACTCCGGGATTTCGATCGTCACTTCTATTTGTACGGTTGCCATAAAAATCTCTTGGAAATCGAAGTTTGTGTGTGAGATAGGGCCCCATTGACAAAAATGCCCGTCAGTCCGCTCCGACCTTATTATAAAGAATTTGAGAGGTGTTCATCTTAACGTACAGTAGAGTCTCGGTGATGCGAAACTGCGGCAGATGTTAATTTGTGTAATTCCCCAGCGAAATTTATGTGTACATTAGGCCGAAATTCGGATGTTCCGAACTCTTTCTTATAATCGCAGTGTGATATGAACTGTAGTATCGAAACCGTCGAACGAAGGCCAATCGAGAGCAGCATGCTTAAAGCTTCGGACAGTGCGTGCGACCAGCGCATGCACTGTCCTTTCTTTACAGTAATGAGGTTGTCGTTGCCACAACCGCTGTGAATGAAACCACGGTCGTTCGATACGATCATGCATGGCGACGACATTACTGACAGAACTGTGTGCTCAGCTAATGCTCGACCAGTCAAAGCAATGATGCTTTCTGCAGACTCTGTGGACAAAACCGCAGCAGTAGCGATCATAGATAGCATAAAGCGACTTAGGATTGAAAACAAAATACCATTTGCCGTAACCGCAGCGCACAAAACCGAGGTCGCAGCGATGCGATAATGATCTATGAGCTCCGAGGTTGAAGGCACGTGGCTAACGCAGCGGTAGATTTAAGGCAGTAAAGACAAAAAAAAAAAGGCTAGAAGCGTTTTTGCGTTCCTGTCCAAAGAATCTAGTAGCGAGCAAAGCCAAAGTTTTGACTCGCACTTTCGCGACAGCCGGCTGTGCCGTCCCGTCCATTCACATGTGAAAACTACACGAGTTGTTCTGACATTTTTTTTTTTTGCTTGTTGTTTTGATGAGGCAAAATTTTGGAAGCATTTGTGCTCCCCTTTCGAGACTTTCACCTTAGTGAAAAAGCCTACCCTTACGTGTTCGACCACTCCAAGCCTTTATGAGACCGCAATGCCGATGTTTGCCCTTGCGTTTTAGAACCCGTTTTCCTTCTTGTTGTTCGCGATATTTTCTTTTTGTTTTGTTTTTTTCTTTTGGTGCCGCAAATAACGGAAAAATAATTCAGCACGTCAATTTGACTTAAGGCGTCAACGCATGATTACGCTTGTCGCTAAAGGCATATTCATCACAGCTACAAATTTTAAAAAGTCGGCAACCCTTCCCTCTCCCACCCCATTTCCAGTTCGGTGGTTTTACAAATTTCTTTGTTGCCAGGTTGGCAGTTATGTCCTTGGTGCAGACAAAAAAATTTTGATTGATTGATGATAATCTTTGTATGTGGGATCGTTAAAAGTGGGTTTGACCGTAGCTGCAAGGAACACAGGTTCAGTGCACTGTGGTAATTAATGTCAAATTTATTGTAACCATTCTGTGGCTTGTCATCAAAACGGTGGGTGTCACCAACAGAGTAGTGGTGCCAATGTTGTCATGTTCAACAAGCCTTTCAATTGTCCAAAGAATCTAACAGCATTGGTTCAGTGGAAGTTGTCTAGTTCAGAAAGTGCCCAGATAAGTTTATAGACCTAGCAGTGGTGCATCGGTTCACTGGGAGCAGCCCCAAGAAATAAAAATAAAAAAAAGGTTATTTATTGCTTAAAATTGTTGCTAAGATGCACTTGCTGAAAGACTCATTTCCATTGAAAGCAGCCTGTGAGTTCTGATTGTCATTGCTAAGACACGAGTGTATAGAATAGTTTCTTTCTGATTTCAGCAAAAGCTTGCTCTGTGATATCTTTTTTCGGGTCATTTTCCGTTGACGTTTGCAGTGTGTGTGTACGTGAACCACCAGTGCTCTTGTGGGCCATACCTGGATCCAGCCAAGATTAGCCAGCTGCCCCTCCAGCTGGGGCCTGGTTCCATGAACAGGGTGCTGCGTGAGGCTGTGCAGGCATGTGTGGACTGTGCCCTCAATGAGAAAAATGTATACAATCTGCTGCGTAAGGGCAACGGCAAAGTCATCATCAATGGTAAGTGAAAAGACTCTGAAAAGTCAACTTGTTGATTTTTGACCATTTTTTAAACTTCTAGTGCTAAATGTAAAGAAACTGCATCGTTTCATGATGCTGCATTTATTCGTTTTAGGGTTACCAATGCCAACAATATTGTGAGGGACATCTACTTACTCAAAAATTTTTATTGTACCATAACTTGAGCTTCCCAACTGAAAAAACGACCTCGGCTCCATGCTGGCCCAACATACATGGCTGACCAGCCGCTCGTGGCCCAAGCTTAGTCAACAAGGTTGGGCTAAAGGTGGTTTTGGTTAATGACCTCACATCGGCCGTCCTCTGGCTGCCAGCATACGTCCAAGTGCAAATAATTGACGCAATTGAAGCAGTGCAGAATCACTCTGTCTGTTTTATATTAATGAACTATCACCGTACAGGAAGCATAACAGAAATTAAAAGTCTTCTAAACATCCCACTACTCGCCATTCGCTGGAAGCAAGCTCGCATTTCACTTTTTCATAAAATATAGTATGTCAACGACAACCTCCGATCACTCTTCATTTACCCATCACTATTCACATCTGCTCGTAGAGATCATTGTCATAAAGTTAAGGTCTCGTTTTGTGACGCCGCCACGTGCACACGGTAATTTTTCCAAAAACCTCAGTCGACTAGAATAATCTGCCATCGTCTGTAGTGAAATACGCGGTCCAATTCTTTTCAACTGTGCTCTTGGGAACATCATCTAGAATCTTAAAACTCTGCCATCTGTTCTTCCTTTCTTTCTTTTCTCTATTCTTGTTTGGTGTTCGGTGCTCTTGCTCTTGTACTTTTTGTTATTATTACATTTATATCTCAATTACTGAATCGAGTGGTAGACTTTGTATAACCAGTGTTTAAATCGGTCTTACCCTTTACTTCCTGTCTTTATTATGTTACTGTACTCACCTGATTTGATTGTTCATGTATCTTTTTAGTTGTTCTTTTTTCACCTCTTCGTACTTGTCCCTCCCTTCTATAATGTACTGTAGGTACCTTGAGGGTACTTCAAATAAACAAGTAAATAAAAAATTCTCCTTCCACGCCTTGCCGTGCGCAAGTGGCGAGCGCTGCTAGTGGTGAGCTTGCACTCTGTCGGAATTTCCTTCCTTTAGCAAAAATTGTGCACGACTTGGTGAAACACACTGTGGGGTCTCGATAATAAGCATGTGCTCTCGAAGCGAACGGACACACAGCAGACGCAGCCGAACCCAAACTGCTATTAGAATGACGATACTGTCAGCCAAATGAAAATACATCAGCTGACGCTGAACGCTCAAAGAAATTTTCGCTGACCGAAAAATAATGTGCGCAGTGAAAGTTGTGCAATCAGATTTAATGCAATGTCAGCTTGTGTTTTTTGCATAGTAACTGGCCAATGTGGTAGACAGCACAGCATGGCACTACAAAGGACTACACGTGGTCACACAGGCATTGGGTGCCAACAATTTTCCTATCATTTGCCCACTGTTGGCTGAACTTATTTGGCCAACTAATAACCAGCAAAATTGGTTTCCAATGAAGGTCCCGTTTTGTGCCACCATTGCTCAAATGACAACAGCGATTGCTGAGCAATGCCTACTTGTTTATCAACCATCGGCCGTCGGCTAATTTCACTTAGGTTGTGCGAATATTGCAAAATTTTGGAGTGCGAAGCGAGTTTGAATGTTCAAGTGTGAGTGTGAATCGATTAGAATTTTTTTCGGATAGTTCCAAGTCATATCGCGGGGAAAAAAAACTTGTAAAGGATTTCTAAGCATGTTCTTATTAGATATAGCATAAAAGTGTTTATTTTTGCTAGGTTGATGAAGCATTGGTGGGGTGGTATTTCATTGCTGCATTATCGCGAATGAGGCAATGCAGAGGCTGAATCATATTAGTACATGATTTGGTGCAACCAAAGTGGTGCCGACAACACTTGACTCGTGGAAGGCAAAGATGCTCTTTACTCAGCCTCTCTTCTTTCAACTTCTGTGGGAGTTCTCAATCTGCCTAGTAGACGTCAACATACAAGAACATTTGAAATTTCAGATACTGAAAACCATCAGCATCCTATTTTTCGGACTTTCTACCAAAATTTCAGGTTCGAAATAGCATTGAGCCTCATTTTTGCCACATCTATGTGCATGTTGGAACCAGCGTTTTCTTGAGTCAATGCATATGCGACCGTAGTGGAGCATGAAAGGCAGCTTTATTTATTTATTTATTTCAAAGTACCTTACAGGCCCCATGGGGGGCATTGAGTAAGGGGGGCTATACATATATACAAATAAACTGGAAAAAAATATACAAGACAGACAATTGAGCAAGGGGGGAATACATATAGACACCTCAAAATGAAAAAAAGTACAAAAGAAACAATTGAGTAAGGGGCCACAATACGGGAGGGGTTTAGGTGAAGTATTAGAAAATTTGTAGGGGCCACTTTCAATTCGGCGTGTACAGTCGAACCCGGATATATCAAACCAAAATATATTGCATTATTAGCTATATCGAACGGTTGAAAAACACCTTGAATTTCCCAAGCAAAATGTATGGGACCAGTGCACCCGTATTTTGAACTTCTGCAGAGCAGGACATCTGCTATATCTAATGCTGCCCCACATCAAAGCCAAGAAAGTGCATTTTTTTTAGCAAATATTGATCCATTTTAGGCCATGTCTCAAGAAGTTCTGATCCTTTTTAGCGCACAGGCGACGAAAAAACAGTGTTACTCCAGCGTGCTGATCTGGTTTGTAGCGCGACACTTCCAAGTACATCTGTACGTTTGGTGCTGCCGGTCGTAGTGCGCAGGCGTAATGTTTTCCGAAATACCGATTGCCAAGGACACCGAAATGAGAATGCAAAGTGGCTTTGCGATCTCAGGGCAATGTTCACATTCCCTTCCTTGTTTGTTGGTGCACTATGGCATGTCAGCCTAAAAAGCATGGCCTTCAAGATGATCAACCTTGTGACGTATCTTTAGTGTGTTTCGTTTCAGAACGCGTGTCTCGGAGGCTATGCTTTTTTTTTTTTTTTAATCTTTCCGCGTCTAAGCCGCTAAAAGCAGCGGCTGGCAGCTACAAAGCCTCAGTGAAATCGATATCGCCAACATGTCGACGGTGGGAACTTGGACGAACTGGGCTAGAGGAACCTAGAATATGGGAAGTGTCCAAAGGGCCGCACGAATGCATGGGAGGAGTGAGGGCCTTTTCTTTCTCTTTCTTTCTTTATTTGTTTCTTTCTGTGCCAGTACAGAAAATGGAGCGAAGGCAAAAGGCTGAAAGCCTGACTAAGGGCCTTTGCTCCAAATACAGTGAGGCAGACAGGCTGTCATAAGAATTTTGCAGGATACAGAAAAAATACAAAAATATATAAAAATACAAAAGGTACATGTGCAAATACTGTAACACATACAACGGTAATAAAATGTTATTTCTAGTAAACAAAATATTGTGAGGAGGTATATATAGGTATATAATATTGTGAGGAGGTATATATAACCATCGTAATGTTTTAAATACCAATAGATATAAGTTGCGATTTCTCATCGCTATTGCAAGAGATATACAAAAATAACAATATACACAGGGAAGCATAGGAAAAAGAACACACACTTAAAAAGCATCAGATACTACTTAGGCAAAGAGGACACATAGAACGATAGTCAAGAAAATTCAATGTTGTTTTCAATCAATACCATCCTAATCGTATGCTTAGAAACTGTACAATTTATATCTAGGAGGCTCTCGATTTTGTTTAAAAACGTGGGGATCTGAAAAGATGAGTGTTGTCGTCTGTAGATCGTTTGAGTCTTCGGAGTCCTTCTAGCGTAAGTACGAAAATCGTACAGAGAACCACAAGAATCTAGCGAATGATAGAGTCTATTGCGTGTTATGTACTGAAATAACTTAAAATAGTAAATCTGGCTTGCTTTGAGCATGCGATATTTCGAAAATAGCGGTTCTGTCCGCAAGTCACGTATAGGGCCACGAAAATCTGTCGTCTGTAGATCGTTTGAGTCTTCGGAGTCCTTCTAGCGTAAGTGCGAAAATCGTACAGAGGACCACGAGAATCTAGCGAATGATAGAGTCTATTGCGTGTTATGTACTGAAATAACTTAAAATAGTAAATCTGGCTTGCTTTGAGCATGCGATATTTCAAAAATAGCGGTTCTGTCCGCAAGTCACGTATAGGGCCTTGAAAATCTTCAAAGATTCTCAGAACCCTATTTTGTAGAATAACCAATTTAGAATAGTTCGTTAGTGTTGTAGTCCCCCAAACAAACGCGCAGTAAGAAAGTCGTGAGTAGAAGAAAGTATAATAGAGGATGTTTTTTAGCCACAGTGGTATGAAAGAATTTAACCTGTATAAGCAGCCAATACTTTTACTTAGTTTTGACTTTAACTTTGCTATATGCTCATTCCAAGATAGGTCTTCTTGAAACCAGACACCTAGGAACTTGCGGCTGTTAACTTGTTCTAATATGTGGCCCTGGTTGGTAATAGTCATACTACATTTTTCTTGCTTTATTCACGGGGGCAAACAGCATGTACTTGGTCTCATTTGCGTTCAAGCACAACTTAATAAGTTTTAACCATAACGAGAGTCGATTAAAAAAAACATTCACATTCCTTTCAAGGTCGACAAGTGAAGAACCCTAAAAAAATGTTTGTGTCGTCCGCGTACATTACTAGTTTGGAGAAATCTGGAATGTGGCAAAGATCATTGATATAAATTATATATAGGAGGGGACCCAGAATGGATCCCTGCGGCACTCCTTTCTCGACCACGGCGTAGTCTGATTCCACGTTATTTATGCTCACAAATCGGTATCGATTTGCTAAATAGCTCTTCAATAGGTCGTGTGCAATTCCTCGTATACCACATGAGCTTAATTTATGCAAGAGGATGTCATGACGTACGGTATCAAATGCTTTACGCAGATTTATGAATAGCCCAACTGTATATAATTTTTTTTTCTATTATGTGATCTTTTA